CTCGACAGTATGCCGCCATCTACTACAACCACTGGCTTCATCAATCTTCATGTTAGTCTTCATCATCATGATCATCATCGTCGTCATCATCGCCACCCCCCACCACCATTACCACCTCATTGTCAACCACCACTACCGTCTTTCACTAACTACAGAGCTTGCTGGTAAGTTTCGAAGGCAGAAGTTTGGCGGGTAACAAGAAGTTGTGTGAGGTGTCCATCTTGGGACATACCTTGGACGACCTCACCCTTGAAGAAATCAGTGACTACCACCCTAAATTTAGTCCACTACGTCGAATGTTAAATGCTAAGAGGATGTTCGCGGTTTGTTCTTTCGTTTGCTCGTTTGTTCGTTCGTTCGTTCGTTCGTTCGTTCGTTTGTTCATCCGTACGCTTACGTGTGGTTGTCCTATTGCTAATGGGATGTTTTCTACTGCTGTATTTTCATCACATAATTTTCTTTAGATTTACAAAACTCGAAGTTAAGAAACTTCATTATACCAAGAAAATTTTTAAACTGTCTCGAACCATAAAAAAAATTATACAAATAATACCATGAAAATTTTCGTGTGGTACCTCCAAAAGTTTTCAACCTCATGGCCGCTGGCTGCACCTTAAACACTACCTACCATTCCAGGATTTCATCATATTAATCTTAACGTGATGATTAACTCGTCTAAATTTATATAAATAGATATTGCTTTTTCATTCTTAAAAAATAATCTCTATACGATACTATTTATTCATTTGTTTATTCTATATATTTATTTATTTGGCATTTCTTCATTTATTCAAACCTCGCAGATATTAGGAGCAGGTCCGAAAATCTTAATGGACCTGCGTGTGTTGAACGCCTCCATCAAACTGACGCACGAACGTGGGGGCGGGTCGTCGGCCAGAGACGTCTACGAGACTATTACCAAGAACACCTACCTATACAGAGAGGTACAATCATCATCATCATCATCATCATCATTATTGTTATTATTATTATTGTTGTTATTAATGTTATTATTAATGTTATTATTATTGTTGTTAATGTTATTATTATTGTTATTATTATTGTTGTTATTATTATTGTTGTTATTAATGTTATTATTATTGCTGTTATTATTAATGTCATTCTTATTGTTATTATTGTTGTTATTATTGTTGTTATTATTGTTGTTATTATTTTTACTTCTATTAAACTCTAATGTTACGCTTTGTTACGTGCGTTACATTTGTCAGTGTAAGACTATTTATTAGTCTCCTTCCGTTAACACGTTGCAAGCCTGTTGGGCGATTCTGAATATAAATATGAATAAACAGAAAGAAAAAACAAAGGTCCTCGAATAAAAAGCAATAATAATAATAATAATAAGAAGAAGAAGAATAATAATAATAATAATAACAATAATAATAAAAAAAATAATAATAACAACAACAATGATAACACTGTCAACAATAATAAAATAAAATTTAAATGAAAAAATAGCGTGTGGTATTCAGGCTCGGTGCAGTAATAACACGATGCACGTGCCACAGAACGTAGAATACAAACCTCTCAATGGCGGATCTGGAAGCAATTTTATAAGTAATGTCATAAAAAGGACCCTGTTATGTATAAAATCGACAAAAAAACTCGTCAACCACACTACCACAAATCTTGACCCTCCTCCGTCAAAATATTGGCCACCCCCCGTCAAAATTTTAGCCATCCCGTCAAAATTTTGGCCACCTCGTCAAAATTTTGGCCACCTCGTCAAAATTTTGGCTATCCCATCAAAATTTCAACATTTTCAAAACTCTGGCTCTTTGTTAAAGTTGTCTAGATCCACCACTAAAATGTCAATTGAACTAACAGGTTCTTGAGGATTTTGACTAGGTTCGACACGCATTTGAACCAGGATCTCGCGCGTCTTCCGATTTACAATTGCACAAATTAGGTTTTCAAGTAAAGGAAATTGTTGAAAAAAGGAGGTAGGAACCTACTATAACTTAGAACAAAGAATGGCCAATAAATAAATATACCAACTAATGAATAATATAGCGCGCAACATAATTAAACCATATTTATAACTTTTGAATCAGTGAATTAATGAAAATGAAGGAAAAAATTAACCAATGAAAGAGTAATTGAATAAATGAAAGATTTCTGTGTAAATGAATAAACTATGAATGAATGAATTACGAATGAATGTATAAAAAACTTCGAAGGCTCTCCACTGCCACATCATTTGTAGCAGTGCGTCAGCTGTATGGAGTGGTGTCCTTCTCAATATATTGTCTAGTGGTCAAACTGGTTGGTCAAATAATTCACTCATTCATTCTTCCATTCATTTCTAAATTCATTCATTTTTTAATCCATTCATTCCTTAATTCATTCATTCCTTAATTCATTAATGCACTCAAATAATTATCTCGCTAATCCAATCCCCTTATTTGTTTCTTTTGTACAAATTGTTTGATTTAATCCAATAAATAAATTTGTTAATGGAAACAATTTTTTATTTCAATAAAATTTATTTTTATACATTCAACACTCAGTTAATCATCTACTCATTCAGTTTAGTTAATTGTATCCGCATTCATTCACACATTCATTAACTATTTTATTCATTTACTCATTCATTCTTTCATTCATTCATGCACTAAATAATTCATCCATTCGCCTAAACAATCGTTCATATAATTATGTAAGAATGGACGATTGAGCATTACTCGGACATGTCCATCCTGCTGGCCAAGTGTGGTAACGTCACAAGTGCTGGCGTGCCTTATGAAATGGAGGTTATTTTTAGTAGTTCCGGAAAAGTCCAAATATAAATATATAAATATTTTAATTAATTATTACGATTAAATTATTTGATATTTATATATTTGCTTCTTCTGATAAACGTGTTGTTAGGTTTGAATAGTTTGTGAATGTTGGGAATAAGTGCATTGGTATCAGTTTAGCGATAGTGCAGATGTCAATATTTTGTGGAATTGTAATAAAAGTAATGAGGCTGGTGAGTGATTATTGCATCAATGATGACGACGACGACGACGATGATATATATCATCTCCATAATGATAGGTCTATATAAATTTAATTGATTGATTGGTTAGCTGGCTGGCTGGCTGGCTGACTGACTGACTGACTTGCTGGCTGGATTGGTTGGTTGGTTGGTTGGTTAGCTGGTTGGCTGGTTAGCTGGCTGGCTGGCTGGATGGCTGACTGACTGACTGACTGACTGGCTGGCTGGATTGGTTGGTTGGTTGGCTGGTTAGCTGGTTGGCTGGTTAGCTGGCTGGCTGGCTGGCTGGCTGGATTGGTTGGTTGGTTGGTTGGCTGGTTAGCTGGCTGGCTGGCTGGCTGGCTGGCTGGCTGGCTGGCTGGCTGACTGACTGACTGACTGACTGACTGACTGACTGACTGACTGACTGACTGACTGACTGACTGACTGACTGACTGACTGACTGACTGACTGACTGACTGACTGACTGACTGACTGACTGACTGACTGACTGACTGACTGACTGACTGACTGACTGACTGACTGACTGACTGACTGATTGATTGATTGAGTGGTGATGAAGATGATGATGAATTAATTTTATTTTCAGTCATACGCCAAGGAGCTTCTCTGCCACCCAAGACCAAAAGCTCTTATTGACGAACCCCCCTTGGTATCGTTATCATCATCGTCATCTTCATCATTTCCACCACCGCCTTCACAATTGCCGCAATCATCACTATCATCGTCACTATTATCATTGTCTTTCTCACCATCAAGTTCATCACCATCACCATCTTCGTCACTATCATCATTGTCTTCCTCACCATCATTTTCATCCTCATCATCATCGTCGTCGTCGTCTTGACCTCACCACTCTTCCTTACATTTTCATCATTATCTTCGCCATTCCCGACACAATTTAGTAGTAGTAATAGTGGAATAGTAGCAGTATGAATAGTAATAGTAGTAGTATCGGCAGCAGCAGCAATAGAAGTAGCAGCAGCAACATATCAACAGCAGTCATAGAAGTAGTGGCATCATTACTTATTATTATTATTATTGTTAATGTTCTTATTTTTGTTATTATTATTATTATAACCATTAAAATTATTATTATAATTTTTTTTTATTATTATAATAATAATTATTATTATTGTTATTATGGACGACAACAGAAACTGTTACACTGGTTGAAATCAGTGGACAGTGGTTCAGTGGGCAGTGCCTTCGACGTGTTCCTCGCCAGGCATGGTCACCGTTGTGTCAGGGAGGTATGCCCCCCTCATGATGATGATGATGATAATGATGATGCTGATGATGATGCTGATAATGATGTGGCGGTCGTGTTGATGATAATTGAGATGATTTGGTATTTGTGGTATTTGTGGTTGTGATGATGATGTGGTAGCTGAGATGATGATGATGGCTATGCCAGTTGTGACAATTGTATTGGATGTGATAGTGCTCTCAGTATGATGTGATGTTAAGTGTAATGATCCTAGTTGTGACGATAATGATGTTGATTATCATGATGGGATCATGATGATAATGATGTTTATAATGATAACGGTGGTGAAGATGATGCCATAAAGTTTGAACCATTGATGAAGAAGAAGATGATGATAATACTGATGATGATTAAGATGATTAAAATGATGATGATGAAGATAATGATGATATAGAAGATGACGATGAAGATGATAATGAAAAACAATAGTGATGACGTTTGATGATATAGAAGTATGAGTACAATGAAAATAATGAGTACAATGATGACGATTTGATGTGCAGTCTGAGTTCAGAGAGAAGTCATGGAAAGATGATCCGGAAAGATTGGTCCGTGTGCTCCAGGTTACATACATGCATACATACACACAAACACACACACAATCAAACACACACACAATCAAACACACACACACACAATTAAACACATACATACACACGCACACATACACGCGCACACTTACAGTATACATATGTAATGTATATATATATATGATATATACTCAGATGATGATGAAAACCAGTCCGTCCATCAGTTCAACTGATGAAAATCTGAGTGCAGATGAACGAATCAACCAACTACATACCAGAATTTCGTTCGTCAAAAAGTCTGTTTAATAATCATGATGGTGACAATGATGTGAACGATGGCGAAAATAATGATGATGACGACGATGATGGTGTTTAATGTGATGATGTCGATTGTGTTAATGTTTGAAATTTAGTAATAACTGCGAAAAAAATTTATTTTTATAATTTTTCGCTAGGCTTTTCTCGTCTGCTAATTAATTATAATTTTTGTTTAAACTTATAATATAAATGTACTTTGTGTAGTAAATTCAAATTGTTGATAATAGTTTTTTAAGATATCTGCAAAACATTATTTGAATGTTCGATATAAAAAATCATGACACTTGTATGTGGTAGTCCGTGGAAGAATGGACGTCTTCTTTCGTGTTATACCCTCAACCCATTCGATGTCACATTTTTTTACAACCGGCATTGTTTTATTTCAAGAGTTTATTTTAGAGTTTGAACCAAACATTTTCACCTTTCTATGTTATTAAATATCCTTAAAACTGAAAGATTTTGAACAACTGCTTTTTCAAACAAAAAATAATCACTGGAGAACTTTCAAAAACTGGCCAGTCAGCAGAAGATGTCAAAAATGATTAGACCTCAAACTTTTAAGTCAAACGTATCATCCTTCATGTTTAACACCATATCCACCGACAATTTACATAACTCGGCAGCAAAAAATATTTTTTCCAAACCAGAATTTTTCTCAAGTACGCATTGAAGAAAGCTCAGACGTCTGTCGCCTTGAGAGAAAATTCAAAGGTGATCTCATGTTAGACTATATATTTTAATTGATCATTTAATAAACTGAGGCATCACTTCATTTCAACGTTACATTATATTATTTGCATTGTTTCTTTGAATACTCATTAACTAAAAATTAAAGAGCGTCTTCGTCAGCATCGTGTACAAATTCAAGCAGGCCTACAAACTTCTGGCCGGACTGATGGTCGAGGAGGTTTGTTTACGTGTAGTGGTGAGATGTCAATGGGGAAGACGTAGGATGTTTATCAATTTTAACAAATAAGTCGTTAACTCAATTTTCAGTCTTTTAGAATTTCAAATGATAAAACACCAGGGTAGATTGCCCGATTCTGATTTAATATTTTTCTTGACGCACCGCGAGATCGGCGTCTTGCTAGACACGTCCTGCCCTAAACTTCTTAGAAGGTATTGAACAGTTGAGAGATGTTATTGGATCAATAAAATCATTCATTTATTCGTTTGCTACAACTTTGTTGGATGGTAAATTTATTTAATTTACAATCCATTAAGGGCGGTCAAAAGAAGATCCGTGTTTCCCACCTTACAAAACCATCATTTCGACCTGGTTTTCCGGGGTCCTCCAAAACCGGTAATTTGATTTATTAAACTCATTTCTATTCAAAAAACCAAATGCATTATCTATTCATCCTCTCATCACCAATCAGATGACTCAGAAAGAAGCGACCAAAAACATCACTAACGCTGTTTCCGTGAAAGGTACAACGCGTGGTTCAAATATTTATAAGTAGTGCACTAGGTTTGTCCATAATTGTTCAGCATGTTTAATACATAGGTGTCTATATGTACGTAGCAAGCTATCACGTTCTTATAATCTCTATAAAATATTATTATGCCTTACTTTTACCCCGTAATGTGCGCAATTTCGAAATAGGTTTTCCGGTAAGCCAAGGAAAAGTTGAGGGACCTGCTAGAGTTGTTAAAAATTTAGAAGACGCCAACTCCATCAAGGTTTGTTTAAATAGAAGCTTTCATTTAATTAATCAACTAATAAATATTTTATTAACATGAATGTTTTCTTACAGAGCGGCGACATATTGATCGTACCATTCACCGACGTTGGGTGGTCTCCCTACTTCCCACTAATCGCTGGATTGGTCACAGAAATAGGCGGACTCTTGTCACACGGTTTGATCTTCATTTAGCACACTATATCTATTTACTCCGTTTCATAATTGTTATAATATTTTTATCGTGACCCCTGACCCCTATGACAGGAGCAGTAGTGGCCAGGGAGTACGGCATTCCTTGTCTGGTGAATGCTTCAGGGGCAACCGTCATATTCAAATCAGGTGCGTAACTAGATCAATTAACCTCTAAAATATAAAAATATTCGTAATAACACAACAACACAATTATTATCTATAGGTGGTTATTAAAGTTGATTAAGTAGATACAGATAAATAGATATATCTTCTGCTATAACCAAATAGATACAGATAAATAGATATATCTTATCAATGATTTGGAGTCTTAGCTACCATCCGCTGATGAGTCTGTTTAGTTGCTCCTAATATTGCGCACCAAGAAACATCATGACATAATTCATAATTCAAATTTTTGAAGCCATCTCACAAAAGTACAACAATAACAATAACAACAACAATAATAATAACAATAATAATAATTTTATTTTATACATATATGATGAAGACATATGCAGTTTAAGATTACCGAATCACATTGCTCGTTACAGGCGAGAAAGTTCTACTAACCACTGATAAGGGACTGCTGCAGAAAATATGATTGACTTATTGTACTTTCTTTCAGATAATGTGAAGTACATTATATTTTACAGCGAATATTATTAATTTAATATCAACGGTCTTTTTAAAGTTTAAAACGAAAGTTTCGGTTGAAATTAAATTAATTTTTTTTGTTTCTCGAAGTTGTTTTTCATTACAACGCAAAATTAAAAAAAAACTAATCAATTAAAAGCATAGTTAAAATTAGTTGTAGTACTTAAAGAACAAATATAATATTATTCATAAAAAGTAAAAATCAGACGTCGTGAACAGGATTCGAACCTGTGCGGGAAGATCCCATTTGATTTCGAGTCAAACGCCATAACCACTCGGCCACCACGACTACGCCTGTACTCTTGTTAAACAATAGTTTTGTTACTATTGTTGTGTCCATGAATTAAATACAGTGAAACGTTAACGCGATCCACGCTCGAAAAATATTCTAAAACGACGAACAAAAATACATTTTTAACGATATAACACCCCGAAATCTTGCAATGACTCTCAAATAACACAACTATTTTATTATATTATCCAATCAGATAGTGTATGCATTTTCGATCGAGTTCATTCACTCAATAGGTTTAAAAAATACAACAAAATATTAAAAAAATAAACCCAACTTTGCTGATAACTCCATCAAAAGCACACCAGCTTACTTAACTTTACTTACAGGCTAGCCACTAGCGAACGCAACTGAAGATACGACGTTATTTATCGGTAAAAAAGTTATTGTTTAAAAAAAATACACGCCACTGATAAAAGTTCTATCACTGCGTGCCTACATGGTTCAGTCTGTGTTATTCATTTCACATACATTTATATATTATCTACTGAGGAGGTATATATATACACACATATGTATATATATATATATATATATATATATAATAATAAGTATATACTAAATTGTTGTTATGTATATACAACGTCATCACTGTTGTTGTGGCTGTTGTTGTTGTTGCTGCTGCTGTCCGTTAGATTTTAGTTGTTGCTGCAGAACCTGATGCTGTTGTTGTGAAATCTGTACGGCAGTCGGTGGGGTACGAACAGTGATATGCTGAACTATTGATGGCGGAATTTTATTCGGACTCAACATCTGCTTGGAGACTCTGACTTGCCCTGTAGCCCCTGTTATAGAAGAGCCCATTATTTGAGAGAGTGATGGCGGAGCCAGAGGAATTGTTATGTTGCCTAAAGTTGGCAATATAATGAATATTATTAAATCATAATATTAAATTATCAGACATTATTAAATCATAATATGTACTTTAACAATTTTAAAAAAGAACAAACCAGAAGCAATGGGATTAGCCAGGGCTCCGATATTGACAGCAGGTCCCCGGTGAGTCATGGCCAGTATTGTAGCTCCCTGTTGTAGTTGGACAGCGGGTAAAGCTTGCTTGACAGCTCCTGACAGTTGCTGACCTTGCTGCTGAATGAGCAACCTTGGTTGCTGCACTTGCTGCTGGTACACTGCTGTTGAGTTAGCTGCTTTGCCAACTTGTTGTAGGCCTGTGTGATTGGCGATTTCGTTTAGCTATTTTAATTCAAATTAATTAGGCAATTCTAGTACAAGCAAATTATAATGATGATAATTTGAAGATTATTAACTTGAATGAATAATAAATATGATAATCCAACTTAACCGACCAACGACACCAAGGGTCCGACTTGGCTGGCCTTGCATGTTTACTGCAGTTATCGTCGGTCGTTTTGTACCCTGTGGATGCCTCAGTGTGGTTGCTGCCGATACTACCTTGCCTGAATGTTGCAAAAGTCGTAATTATCTTCATGCTGATCATAATGACAAAAGTTCATCCATAAATGCTCAAACGTTTCTATACGTATTTCTGGTTAATAACGGAGTAATTATTCGTCGTTTGTTAACATTATTCAGCAAAGACAGTTTATTTAATTGCTAAAGAACTTGGTAAATTTGGGTCTTAATGGCATTAACTGGATAGCAGATGGTTTCAATCCACTGAACCAACCGACCAACCAACCAACCAACTACTGCAATATTTCTTGAACGAACTATGAGTAAGCTTATTGTGATGGAAAACATATCCAACTTGGTTATAACTTAGTTAAATGTGCACATCCTTGAGAAATATTTCAGGCTGTAAAGGAAAATGCCAAAAAGAATTTGAAATCAATAAAGAGAGAAACACAAATACAAACTAATTCAAAAATACAATGACAAATGTAAACAGACCAGCCAGTAGATTTTTTGATGCAAATGAAGCAGCAGCAGCAGCAGGAGTTTGGTTGTTGACGTTCGTTATGATGGCAGGTGATGACGATGACGCTCCATTAGTTGATATGGCTTTGATGATGTTTGTGGCAAAGATCTGAGGAAGTTGCTGCTGTTGCTGCAGGTTGTTGTTCTGTTGGTTTGTTTGTTGGTGCTGCTGCTGTTGATGCTGTTGTTGTTGTTGAATTTGAATGGCCTCCAGTAGCTGTTTGTAGATTAATGGTGAAAGCAAGTAAAAGGATTGAAAGAAAAGTTGTGGGAAGAATAGTAATAGAATCCAATAAAAAACACACTCTGAACAGAACAAAAAAAAACATTAAATATATGGCGATCTTACATTAGATTTTGGTTGTAGCTGAAGTTGTTGCAATTGCAGTGTTGCCGTGGCACCGACTCCCGAAGCTGCTATTGCAAATCTGTTGAGTTGCTGCTGCTGTTGCATTTGTTGCTGCTGCTGCTGCGTTTGTTGCGCTGCTGTCTGCACCTGCTGAGGCCTCTTCAATACAAGCTGTGTATTCTGAAAATCAATTCAAATGAAAATTTCAATAAGAAATATTAGACAAAAAAAAAACAAACTCTGGAATACCTTAACGGGAATTGTTTGACCAATGGAGGCCAGCTTGGGAAAGTTAGCATTGACCAGACTTGAGGCTAGGTTGGCCTGTGTTGTGTTAATTGTAAGTGGTAACTGTTTTATTGCTGTTTGGTATAAATAAATGAGAATAAATTGTAGATCAACTAATTAAACGTCGTCTAATCAATCAATTTATTTATCAAATCGATAGCCTATTCATTCGTTTATCATGAATTCATCCACCTATCCTTCCTTCCATTCATCAACAGCAATATCAACCTGTTGATTTTGTTGCAATGAGGCTGTCTTCTGTTGAGCAAGTCTCTGGCTCAACTGCAGCTGTCCTGCACCTCTCAATGGCATTCTGTTATTGTTAGCGTTGTTGTTGTTGTTGTTAGTGTTGTTGACGTTGCCAATATTCTGTTGCTGTATTATACCTGCAATGTACACAAATGACCAGGATAAGTTATTAGGTAAAGATTCATAAAACAGATATAGTAATATTGGAAAATAAAAATGACTGCAAAAACGCAACAACTACAACAAAAACATCAACAATAATAAAAACAACAACAACAACAATTTCCTTACCAGCAGGGAAAGCAATGGTGCCGGGCTGATTGGAAGCGGTTTTGTTCTGATTGATGGTTAGCGTGTTGGTCAACTGGTGGACGACCGGATTCAAACTCCTGATGGCCTTGAACGTTGCAGGACTCAGAGAAGTAGGCTGGATAGTCGGTGACATATTGACTAATTCATAATTATTCACTAAACTTTAATTAATAAATAAATAATTATTCACAAACTTTAAAACGAGAATGAAATTAAAATAACTGACTGACCAACAGACCAACCGTACTGACGACGGCAGCCTTTGTAACAGCCACAAATGTTGGCTGTTGCTGACCAGCAAGTGACTGGTTGACAACAATGCCGAGGTTGGACAGACTGCGAACCGAAGGCACTGCATTGGAAGTGCCGACCACATTACTGACCAGTGGCACTTTCTGCATCAACGTTGTGTGCTTTTTGTTATATGTTTTTGTCCTGTTTGTTTTTTGCTAAAATAAAAGTATTGTCATTACTTGAATTATTATTATTAATATTATTATTATTATTTAGTAATAAGCAATTGTTACAACTATAAATCATTTGTATAACAATTGAATATAAATTTTAATCAAAATTCTATAGTCAAATAAAATGCATTTTAATATATAACCAACAGCCTGGCAGAAAAAACAACAGGTGACAAGCAACAAATATTAAATAAGCTGCTTGTTACTTCTTATAATATTCTCCAAAAGCAATTACATTGGCTACTGAGTGAGTTTGCATTAAAATTCAAATAACTTGAGCAGCCTAATGATATAATGTTAAAGACGCTTGGTTCTGCTTTGCAAAGAAAGGTCCCTGCTCATCATATGAGATACATGCAATGCTTTTTAGTAACGCATAGGAAAAATCACCTTCAACCTTTCTAATTTTTAACAAGAATACAACAAACAGACTTACCCCAATTAACGTATTGGAACCAGCCACAATAGACAGCTGTTGCTGCTGCTGCCTAGGATCGAAACTAGCTGCAGTACTAACAGTCGCCATCAACAACTGAGGTTGCCCAACACCAGCTTGCAATATAACCTGTTGCTGCTGCTGTTGTTGCTGATTGATTATATTAGACTGCTGGATTATAACCGGACTGTTAGACTGGCCAGCAACCATTCGAAGTTGATTGTTCGGTACAACCATCGACATGCCTGCCAACGTCAAGGTGTTGCCGGGCAATGAAGTAGCTCCATTGACGTCATATGTTTGTTGTTGTTGCTGCTGCTGTTGTTGCTGCTGCTGTTGCAAAGTCTGCTGTTGTTGGAGTTGTTGTTGCAAACTCTGTTGCTGTTGTTGTTGATGCTGCTGCTGCGCCTGTAAAAGAGAAAAAATAGCTAAAGAAACAATTCAAATAAACAACTCATAAAAATGTTATTAATGTTGTAATATTGTAATGATGTTGTAATTAATCCAACAATAAACAATAACGAGATGAGAGATGGAGTAAAAATATTGTGACCAATGATATTGCAATTGCAGAGGGAATCTTCTCAAATGGCTTCTTTTCTTTCAACTGGTCCTTAGCCATTCGTTCAACTCTCTGACTGGCGAGTTGTAGTGGAGTCATCGGTTGTTCGTAATTTATGTTATGTTCGCCCATCACCATCGCTTGCTGTGGTTGTGGTTGGTCGGTTGTTGAATGGTTGGTCGGTTTTTGTTAGTTGAATGGTTGGTCGGTCGGTTGGTTGCGGAATGGTTGGTCAGTTGGTTGTGGAATGATTGGTCAGTTGTTAGTTGAAAAATTAGCCGAATGTTAGGTGGTTACATGTTGCAAAATGACAAAAGAATTTAGATAGTGATGATCATTGTTATAATAACGAAATAAAAAGCAATAAAAAGTAGTACAAAAAGAAGATGAATAGACAAACCTGCCTGGAATTCTTCACAATGGTCGAATGTTGGGTTGTTATATGGAGAGAAAAATGACAAAAGAATTTAGGTAGTGAGGATCGTTGTTATAATAATGAAATAAAAAGCAATAAAAAGTAGAGTAATAACAGCACCAACGACGAGATGAATGGGCGAACCTGTTTGGCACTCTTGATAATGATAGCCTGATTTTTGAGATGATTGGCTCTGGCAGCTGCAGCTCGTTTGATGTTCAGCGCCTTCATGGATTCGAACCTCGAGATCAGCTGACTCGACAAAGACCTGTATGTTAGGTTGGTGCCAATTATGTGGTTCGAGAAATGTATGAATGCACCAACTAATGCTAATATCATCTGCGCGTTTTTCATAACTGACAAGATAGGCGCTATTTCAAAGTGATCCCATTTGCGACAATACAAATCCAACAGCACAAATCTAGCAGTAAGGATTAATGCTAAACCAACAGTTGAGACATTTTTGATCCATTAAAATTAATTGATTAGCGAACACTGCGATTCGAAATTATGCTACGCCATTACCGTATATTTAAATGCCTCAAAATTATGATTATTAATCATTCTCAATATATTTTTACAGTTACCATTATGTATTAAAATTTTTATTATTCCAACCCCAATGTTATGGAAATGCTACATTGTACAGGTTTAGATAGTGGACATGACAATGGAGATTGGACAAAAACACGTGCGTGCAGTGTACCTTCTTAGTGCCACGAGGTATAGAGCAAGAAGAAATAATGATTCTGAATGACGCTAGATATAAGAACAGATTAATAAGAACCCAGAGAACCCAAAGCAACAAGTCATACATACAGAACACCATAAGCCCAGATTCAACTCAGCTAATTCTGGGCGAATTAAACTCAGAGGAAATTTTCAAGAAGATGGTCTTAACTGCAGTTGGAGTACCCTGACCTAATAAACGAAACTTACGAAAACTCATGTAAAACTAACATATAATCAACCAGTGAAGATACTCATTGCCACTAAACTAATAATACCATAATTATATAAAAAATATAACATAGCAACATCATTTAATATGAAACAACGATGGTAGTAATCTTCAGAGAAAAAAATCCCGCACTTGTTATTGTCCTGACTGTAAAGTTGCACGGTTTTCATGGCCCTGCTATTTTTTGTCTGCTAATAAATTTATAGAAAAAAAAATTTTATCCTCTTATAAATTTAAAAATTTATAAGAGGATAAAAACATAACATATATAAGGAAATAAATTTTTGTTTTGAAGTCAAATAAAATTGTATTGCCTTATATTGTAAAATTAAATAACATTGATGAAAATAAATAAATTTGTGGAGTGAGTAGTGAGTAGATTTGGGCACCTTATAAAGTCCCTTGTTTGCTTTCTTCATCTTCTTCTGGTTGTTCTCCATCGGAATCCTACCTTCTTCTCTGGGCAGGACGATCATTTCGTACCTCAATCTACATTGCCTCGGAGACCTGGAGTGAAGAATTAGTTTGAAAATATCTATCTATACTGTTCACTGGATAGATTGGCTAATCTACTGAATAGCACACACACACCACAGACACAAACACACGCAAACATATATATAAATACATATATATATATAATATTCCGCAGATATAAGGCAAATATTACAACCATCATCACCAAACCATTATCATTATAACCATGACCACCATAACCATCACCATATTTTTATAGATAAAAGTACAAAAATGTACCTGTACACTTGGCTAAAGAGGTTAACAACTTCGGCAACCATCTCCCAGTTGGGCTGTCTGCACTGGATGGGTTGAATGAGAGTTGTAGAGGTTCCACCGGCGCCTGTGTTATCCAGGTGCATCTGATAAGCCTGCAGCCATGTGTTTTTATTATTATTAACATTATTATTATTAGTAGTAGCGGCAGCAGTAACAGCAGCAGCAGTAGTAATGGTTAGTGGTAGCAGTAGCAGCAGCAGTAGTAATAGCAGCAGCAGCAGTAGTAGTAGAATTAGTAATTTTATTGTCTTAAGCAACTTTTTCATTTTGCACAGAAATCCAATTAAGGGAAAAGATTGAGGATAGATAGATTGAAGATATGAGAGTGACATCTGACATTGCAGAGTAAAAAGCAAGGAGATAGAGGATGCATCTAGTGCAATGTAGGAAGAATCGGAAGAAAGAAGATGTTGTTGAAACTAACGCAGCAAATATAAAAAAGTCGCCAGAGTATGGTTCTAGTAAGCAAAATTATCAAATTATCTAGCATAGTTGTAACAGATGAACATAAACATACATATTCACATAGTCTGCCATCATCCCTCCTACCATTAAAGTAACCTGTAATAAAGCCCAATCTTCATTAATCAACCAATCAGGTTCGCTGTTTTGACCATCAGATCCAGGCAATCTAGCCATTGGCAAAGAAATGGGTGGAGACCTCGTGTATGGTCGACCTAAAGGGTAGCCCAGTTTATTCACTAGCCTGCCATCTCTGTCGAAGTTGAAACCCATCTGTAGAGCGCTTAGTCCTGTGAGGTTGGTCACCGAGGTCATAGTGGAAGAGGCTGGCCTCTCAAACAGGGACTTTGGCCGGGAGATGGAGGCGGTCGGAATTGTTCGTGCATCACAACGTGAAGAGGATGTCGATGAGATTTTGTTCGTTTTGACTGTTTCAGTGATGAGTGAATAAAAAGTGAGAAATAAAAAAAAATAATTAAAATTCTAGTTAATTTAAATTATTCAAAAAGTTTATTAAATGTTTCGTTATAGAAGCGGAAGTAATATTTAATAAATGAAACAAACAAGAATGATCAACCACCTGCACAGAAGCTGGTGTCCATCTTGACGTGTTTGTTGACCTTCTTGGCATAGACAGGAGGCAGTTGAGTCTCGGACATCGGGGTGGACTCGTACAAGTAGAGGAGAGAATTATCAACGTAGTAGTCATCATCTTGTGGCGGAGTTGGAGGGGCCCAGATCTGTTTTTGTGGTTGTTGTGGAGGTGGTCGTGTAGTTTGTTGTTGCTAATGTTGTGGTGGTGGTGGTATGGTTTGTTTTTTGTGGTTGTTGTGGTGGTGTTATGGTTTGTAGCTGCTGTTGTTGCTGCTGTGAAGGATTGCTACACTGTCATTTTCAGATTAACAAATAAATAATCAGAAATTTTAAAAAGTTTTTGAACTAAAATGAAAGTTTTACCGGCATGCTTTCACACGTTAGATCGGATAAGAACGTCTGAAATTGAATAATTGAATATAAAAATCAATCAAGGTTTTGCTATAAAAATTAATGAGTTAGCAAACTTGTTGAGAGTCCTAAAAGCAGTATGATAAATGAAACAAAGAGTAATCAGGGACAAAGAGATAAATATAATTAGAAGTTCTCCAAAAATGGGATAATGCCCTGTGCAAGAAAAATTAATGAGAGATAGTGTGACATAGAATTCAATTACCTGTGGGTTTTCAAAGTCCACATCATAAGTCAGAAGAGTGTCCAAATCTAGTATGAGGCTATCAAACTCCTCCTCTTCCTCATCATCAGCCTGCATATCTCTAACTCGTCTCTCACCTACATCACCATCTCCACCACCAACGTTAGCGATCGTCCTCATTCCATGCACAGAATAGTTGTCATTTTCAACCCTCTCATCTGTATCCCTCTTAAAAACTTTTAAAAGTTCTCTCTTGACTGCTGTGGTTGACGCTGCCATTGTCGATGATGATGTTAGCTGTTGTGGTGAGGAAGACGATGACGATGATCTCTTCCGCTTCCTACCGATGACTCCAATGTCAGACTGAATATCAAGATTTGTGAAAATAAATAAACTAAGAATACCCTTGAAAAAGTGAACACGAAAAAGATAAGCAACTGTGGCATCAAGTAAATTTAAATTAACTGCTGAAATAAGTAGGTACCATTAAGTACCCCACATCCGCACATACACAAACAGACACACACACACACAAACAGACACACACACACACACACACACACACACACAAACAAACAAACGCACACACACACACACAACAAAACTCACAATTTTCATCAGTGATGAACGCAACTGTCTGTGCAGTATCGATTGCGCGTAATCATTAACCTGTTGTGTTGGTTGGTGCTTGTTGAGAATGTGATTTTTTTAAATACTGCAACAGTTTCCATATGCTTGCATTTGTGAGTCTAGCGTTATCACTAATGTAATGTAACTGGCATTATATTCATTATAACCTACAACTTGCAGGTTAAAACTGGTTACTAAAATTCTTTTATAAATTAATACAAATAATGTTCAATAATCCTTGATCTAATGATCAAAGTTTTTCACCTTCAGGTATATTTTCTGACTTAGATTTGTTACCGACTTGAATAAATTATTTCATCAGCAAAAAATATAAAATACTACAAGAGCTAAGGTAAGTTTGAAAAAACGTAAATGTCTTGATGGCTTGAAGGAAATAATTGATAAATTTATAAAGAACAATAATGATCGGAAATGAAAATACTTTTCGAGACTTCGGCAGACAACTTCCGGCTTCTCCCATCCAATCCTCCTCACCATCATCGTTCCTAAAAATGGCACTGGATACATCAAACTCATTTTGACATGAACAAAATTTTGACAGCTTAACAACGCCAGCATTGTTATAGTTACCAGTAGCCTCATCATTTTCACTGTTATCTTTAATGTTACTGCGGTTACTGACATTGGCCAACTGGAGAACATTCATCTGTTGCGTGATTATTTTAATCCATACTTTTCATACAAAATAATAAATATCAGGAAAAACAACAAACATAATTGGATCTAAAAAAAACAGCCAGAAAAAAACATGAAAACTAAAAAAACCATTAGCCAGAAAATCTCACCTTCTTAACGCCAGAATCATTTTCGACAGGGACAAGCTAATTTGATGTTGCAAGAAAAGTTATTAACCAAAATTACCATAATATCAACTGCAATAAATAATAAGCTATATGCTGCAATAAATAATTAAATAAACAACACGCCAACAATAATGTTATCAAGTTGAGAAGCTAACTTACTCGATAATCATCGGCTGAGTATTTGTAGTAGCGTCTACTTTTAACATCCAAGACTAATGGTACATCGTCGTCTTCGACATCGTCACGGTCATTCTCGACATCACACTCTTTCATTGCCCCATCATATTTATTCAACTTTACATTGTTGAAGATTCTGAAATAGGGAGAATTTGAAAAAAAAATTACTTAATGTAAAAAAATAACAAATAGTTCATGAATATTAATTAACCTACCTTATGACGTTGACGTTTCTATTTTTAGACAAGCCTCGCACTAGATCTAACCACAGCGGGGTTTTTCCACTTTTAACCTCATCCTCTTTCGACGTGATTTCAATTTCCATTTCATCATCACTAGCCTTGTGTGCAGACTGCTGATGCTGTTGTTGGTGACGGGGCTGTTGTTGATCATGGTCGAGGGATTGAGGCAGACCGGAATCATAGCTGGATATCTTTATTTCATCATCATAATCTCCATTGTATTGACGCCTGTTATTACTGTCCTGATTATTATTGTTTTTGTTCTTATAAATGTGGCTGTTGTTGTTGCTACCATTGCTGTTATCATCATCGTCAGGATAGACTAGCTTATCATCATCGTCCAACATGATCACATTTTCACATTCTGGCAAGCAATCCGCCCCTAACACATCAAACATCATCTTCCAAGATGATAATGAGGAGGGCGATGACGACGATGCAGCTGATGACGACACGGATGATGACGATGAGAACGACGATGGTGATGATAAGGGTGAGTGCACGAGTAAGCATTTGAATGCATGATTAGCGTTGAACATTTTTATTTTCCTCTTCAGCCTCCTCCAACCAATTCCTGGCTCAAGCTCAATGTATGGCAAGCCAAACTTGCAGAGAATACTTTTTAAACTGTGCAGAACTTGAGGGTGTTGACTTAAAAACAATGATCTATTCTTAGCAACAGTAAATGATCTATCTTTGAGGAGACATGCTATAGCTGAAGACTTGCCTGAAAATGTATATATGATATATAATATAATGAAAGATGTAATACATGACACAATGTAGGCAACGTTTATGGGCAAGAAGCTGTTTAGCCCCAACCTTTTCTTCAAAACTAAATAATGATGACTGCATCAAAAGTGGAAATAAATTTTACAAAACAAAATTAATTATAACAAAAATTACGAAACATACTACAGTCTGACAAACGAATTTGTAAATAGCATTAAGGAAAAGGTAGCATAGCACCCGACCTTGGTTACTACCAATGAGATTCTTATCAACATGATTCCTCCTTTGGAAATGGAGTCCATTACATGACAAGCCACGACTCATCGCATCAATCAACACAGCCATGGCTTTCACATCGTCGTCATTTGCATCTTCGTTGGCGCCATCAGAGTTGTTGATATTATCATCTGCTTTTTTTTCATCATCATCATCACCAATGGTTATAACTTTTTTCTTGGTTTCAATGGGCTTATAAGAGACAGATAAGCATTCTGAACTCTTAGACGAGTCTGTGTCTATCAGTAGAACAACATTCTTCATGTTCGTCAGGAATCTATTTAAAAGTGTAAATGTATACAAAATTTTTTACGCATATTTCTACAAATTTGAAATCAGACAAAATCATTGCAATCTGCTTATTTATAAACAGAATGCTAGAGTCAGATTTTTTTGAGGGGTCAGAGTTGGAGTAGGATATTTTACTGCTTATAAATGTACGTGTAACACACACACACACACATTTGTACTGGTTTGTTATATTTTGAAATAAATAAATAAAATAAATGAATAAATAATTATAAATAATTGAATAAATAAAATAAATGAATACCAGCATTCGCAGATCACAACAATAGATAACCAACAATAAATTAAAAGTAGCTTAAATTAACAGTAACAAATATCATCACCTCTGAAGTATATCGTGCACAATATTGAGACCAACGCTGGTCAGTTCAGTCATGACTCCAGATTGACCATCATCTTCCTCTCGCTCCTCATCATCATCATCAGCAGCAGCGGCACCATCGAGATTATTAATGAGTGAATATTTAGGTGATATTTTAGACTTTTCATAACTTTTCAGCATAGCCAATGTGTTCTCTACAATACTGCAACACTTCAAAATTTCCTCCTTGTTGTTATCTTTAACATTACCCATACTATCCTTAGCATTAAGTTTATCTTTGCCATTTAATATCATCGAAACAGCTTGACACATGTCTCTTAATGACCTGCCTATAGTTTTGGGAGAAACATCTAGAACACATTTTGTGAGTTCTGCACCATATATCGGTACTAGGCGGTCATCAGAATACGCAGTACAACTTGTACTAACTCCACTTACGTTACTACCGACAAAGCCATTGTTGCTGTTATTACTATTAATAAATGCACTGTGGTGATCATGAACAACAAAGTCATCTTCCTTGCTAATGCTGCTCTTGCAACTCTTGCTCTTCTCACCAGTTTCACTCAGCTCCTCAACTGAACAGCTCATTTTCATCGTCGGTCGTTTGTCTGGATACTCTCTGGAGGTTATATTAAGCAATCTCTGAAGAGCGCCTGTCTGCACCTAAGGGCAAAAATGATTCATATGAAATGAAAATAATAAAAGCATTTTTAACTCCATTGCAGAAATATTTAAAATAAAATTATAACGAACAATATTTAAGTAAAAAAAAATTTAATATGAATTCAATTAACCAACATTTTGAACTAAAACTCAACTAACCCCGCCTCTCTGAGGTAATTTACACTGTAAACTCTTAAAATGAGGTAGAGTCAAGGAATCCTTGATGAGGACACAACCGTCGTCAACACAATCGTCATCCAGGTGAGCACAGATGCTCTGCAGCTCGTACAGGTAACTCAAACTTGACCTCTTGCCATCTTCAAGTCTTTAGAAAAATTGACCAAACGAAGAATTAATTAATTGGCATCGACAAATTATAAATGAGTAATTTAGTATTGATACATAAGAAACAATTTCATTAAATCAAGAAACTACACGTAAAAAATAATTACTATATAACCATACTTAAACATGGAAGTAACATTATAGATGATTTTTCTTACAAGATAAAGTTAAAAGAATAGAACAGCAAAGAAATATGCAATAACTTTTGTATCTTCCGAATTTGCTTGCTAGACAAACACGTGGACACATCATAGAGTGTGACAGACGAGTGACCTTCAGCATCATGACCTTCAGTGACATGACCTTCAGTGATCTGCTGCTCTCCCATCAATGGTAACAATACCTGGTGAACATTAAAACCACCAACTAACTTATTTACTGAATATATAATTGTTACTTGGAACAGTTATTGCAACAGCAAACAACGCATCACACACACACACACATTGCATGTGATAACCTGGGATCTCCATGCAATCAAATCCAGTCACTACAACAACAGTGCCAGGCACTTTACCATTACACCATTGTACCATTCACCAAACAGTTGGTGTTAAAATACAATTGATTAACTAATTTATGGACATGAACATGAATTAGTTAAGAGAAAAAAATGAACAAATTATAAAAAAAACGGTTAATAAAATAGAAACTTAATCACCCATACCTTAGCAGCAGTTATAAGATTCAGCTGATCATTGCTCTCTTCATCGTCGTCATCACTAACATCCTCACCACTTGCAGCGTCATCCTTCCCACTTTTTCCATCAGCACCTCTGATTCCCTGCAGTGCTGCCTTTAGATTGGAAGGCAGGCAGAGTTTAGCGAGCGAAATAAGAAACCGTTTCATATCCAGTGACAATGATGCCAGAACTGAAGACGACGACGACGACGATGATGACGTCAGTGATGACAGCAGCGATGGTAACGATGTAACGATGATGTCCGAGGAGGTAAGCAGCGACGATAATGAAACTGGATCGAAATGAACGATAAGATGTCGGCAGTTAAGAGGGGCCAGAGATGCATACGAATGTGAATCAGCAATCTGGAAAATAAAATATCGTTATCATTATCTACAACAACATCATCATCTTCGTCATCACCGTCTCCATCCTCATCAATGTTCATCCTCATCGAACTATTAGCTTTGCTCAGCCAATACTATTAGTTATTAATATTAATATTACTAATAATACTATCCATATATTATTATTGTTGTCGTTCAAACATCATCATCATCAATAAATAAATCAAACAATGATGATAAAATCCAAGATGATGATCATAACATAGTATGATATATAACAGCCGTGATAACAATTACGGTGCAAATACAACAACGAACTTTACAAAATTAAACAGTGATAATATAAAACACTGATGACAACAATGACGATATATAACATGATGACGACAACATGATGACGACAACAGGATGATGCAACCAAAAGTCATGATGATGCAATGTAACGCATATGGAGACCTTGTAAAGTACTAGAGTTCTCCACTGAATGGACTGAACAGTTTCCAAGTTATTCATCACAGTGGCAGCAGTTGCCAGGCAGACATTGACAGACTTTGATAATTTCTAACAAGAAATATAAACCAGTTATGAATTAAAAAGTTAACAAGAAAAACTACTCTGTATTGGAACGAAACAAAGAGAACGTCCAACCAACCTTAAAAATTTTTTTAGTTCTTCTGGCATTCCTCGTATTATCATCAACCATAACTTCAGCTTCCTTATCATCATATTCCTCCTTACCGCTACGTTCCTCTCCACCAATAACCACAGCCACATCCAATCCTGGAAACAACTTCCAGAATAAATTCTTCCATGTATAGAGATGTTTGCGCTCCTGAACGATAACCAGATGACAACCCCAATCACAATTGTTGAAAGCCAGCTGGGCCAGGTGATGTACTACAGGTGTTATGCATTCCACATCATCTAAACGAGTGTTTCCACGCTGATGACATCTGGATTGCATTTCCAGGTGTGGAATCCACGACAACCAGCGTTCGAATATTTCATGCAACTTTTTGCTTTGGGGCGGATTCAGTGTGACGAGTGATGACGAAAATAAGGAAGGTGGTGTGAGTAGTTGTTGGGGCTGTGATGATTTAGGCGATGTTGATGTCGATGAAAATGATGAAGTGAAAGAATGACAAGAAGAGATGAAATCTTCAATCGTCTCAAATGCAATCTTTTCTTCTTTAATTGACACAGCTGCACACGAGATAGTATAAAGATTTGCATTATAATAAATAGTAATAAAGTAATCAGCATTAACAACATTAATAACGTTAATAATACTAATAACATTAATAATATTAATAATACATAAAATAACATAAACAGAAATCAACTAAAGATTATCATTACTTAGTGAAAAAACTACAAGGGTGATAATTGAAATCATCAGCATGAATCTCCAATAAATATAATGGAAAAAAGTATCTCCAGTAACCGCTATCAACTTCCTCCCCAGCAGGTAAACTGCTGTCATCTTCAGCGTCGTCAGACTCATCCCCAGGAAGATAGTTGGAATCAAAATCCTCAGGATAGTAGTCGTAATCATCGTCATCATTACCAACAACGTGAGAATCATAATCATCACCATCGATCTGACGATCGTAATCATCATCGCCGTGCATGAAGGAAGGAAAAGTTGCATCGTTCAACTGGTAGCCGTTATAATTCTCATCTATCACTTCTTCTATAGGTTTCTTTGCTAACAGGCAAGGCGTTACACATATTTAAACACATAAATTATGCATGAGTGAGGATATATATATATACATATATATATATATATATATATATATATATACATATATATATATAATATAAATATATAAGTATAATAAGTATATATATATATATATATATATTTATACAAACAAACAAACAACACACGTTTAGACGACATTTTCCCCGAGATCGGGGGTTGCAGTTTGGCTACCTATGATGAAACCGAAATACCCCTCGACGCCATTCACATCTGTCACTCGCCTTCTGTCATCATAAGTAATTTATTTGGCTAATTTTTACGCAGGACGCCCTTCCTTACGAAACCACAGTTATAAGCGGTGGGCCTAGCCTTTGATGATCCAACATCATTCACAAGGCAGTGAGGGTCAGTTTAATGTCATAACCAGGACAATATATATATTTATATACAAATATATGCAATACTCAGTGAACCTTGTGTCAGCAGGTCATTCAACTCCAGTTCAAAATTCGAATCTTCTGAATCAGAGAATGCCGCCGCCATGTTAGGCTGGTCATGATTATGATGACGGTGGTGATGATAATGATGAATTTTGTGATCATTATAATGATGAACGTGTTGGATACATGATAATGATGATGAGTAAAGTCAAAAACTCAAGATGACCAGTTCTGAGAGAGGAATGATGTTGATTGGGATGATAAAAGAGAAGTCATGGTGGATTAATATGACATTAACTGATGATTGTATTGCATTGTTTTGTATTGTATTGCATTACATTGCATTTTATTGCATTGTTTTGTTTTGTATTGTATTGTATGATCGTCATGTTAGTATTGGAAAATTACTTTTCAACCAGCAAAAGACCAATAACAAAAAAAAGAAATCGAAATACCAAAAAAATCAAAATCAGTTTCTATAATTACGTCGATGTTGGAGACGAGATTCTTGTGAGTCGGTCTGGCTGCCTCGTTGAAGATGTATTCCAGTAGCTGATCACTAGTCTCATCAACGCATTTGTGGGTCCTATACAGATAAGTCTGTGTCAATCATGAAAGGTCAGTGCTATTACATACATTGAAGATGAAAAAACTATTAAAAATCAATGATAACAGTTATATTGATAAGAACTATCATTATTAAATGCTGTTAATAATTTATAGATAATAAAAATAATAAACGTATAACATAAGAAAGTAAGCTACGAGCAGGTTTCAACTAAGGTAATGCATCATCCGTAAGCAATGAAATTCACTAATACAAAAATGGAACAGTGGGTTGACAATTTAGATTTGTATTGAGTACTGAAGTAGAGGTCAATCATGTCTCAAAGCTAACTTTTCATTTCTATCGCCATAATATTGATACTTATAACCACCATCATCACCATCATTCACAAAACCTCCAAATTATCCTTCCAAAAATCATTCACAATAGATCCAACTCTTCTGGCTAGCTTTCTTTTTCTAGTCTCTTCTTGCACTTTCTGCTCCATTCTCCTCTTCATTCCGTTGTTCTTCACTACATTTGTAGAAAGCTAAATTTGAAGATTTATGAAATAGGTTTACAGATACATAACAACATAACCCAACAAAACATCAGTATCGTGAACGATATCCTTTATAGACTTTATCAATCAACTCTGAAACTTACCATGGCAGATGATGCCAACTTCCACCTTCTTTCCTGTGCAAAATCCACAGCCATCCACTGCATCTCACTGAGCAGCATGTCCCAGTGGGACTTTGACCTCTGAGTCTCCATAACCTTGGGCAGTCTCCTCAGTGACCACAGACCCTGACGACGCAGTTCTGCTATGCGGTACATCACCTTGGCTTCCTGTGGTTCAAAGTTTTGCATGATTGGTTAGTGACTCATCTCAAGAAGATTGTATGGTAAGAAGGTTTGCCAGTGCTACATAAAAGATACTAAATAAGCAAACCATTCACTATTCCAACTAAATGAGTTAATTCTTAATTAGAGCAAAACAATTTAAAAACAAACAGATACACACACCTGTTTTGCCAGTTCTACAATAGCTGCCTCTGATGTGGCATTTGTTGTAGCTGCAAGCAGGGGTGATGATACCGCTGCAGCTGTAGCTATTGTAGAGGCGACTTTAACGTCTTTAAGTTTGGTTTGAGCATAACTTGTAACTGCTAATGCGTTGATCTTAGGTTGGTTGTCATGGTAACTGCTGTTGCTGTTGATATTGCTGTGGTTGATTGTTGTTGTGCTGCTTATTGTTGAGACAAAACTGGATGTTGTTGTTATTGTTTTTGAAAGAGAAATTGGGAAATCTCGAAGAATAGAAGAGAAGAGAGAAGGAGGAGAAGGATGTGGTTGGCTGGAAGAAGACCTGTGTGAAGTGAGAAAGAGTTATTATTGGAAGATAGTCATTACTATCAATCAATCAATCTTCGTTTAGCGTCCAGAGACCCAGTTTCACGAGGTAGGACGTTACAACAATATACACAACCAAAAATAATAGCCACAAAAATCAAGCAAATCAATATTTTATAACGAAATGTATTTGTTATAAACTAACTTCCTCCACAATATTATTCTTCATTCACATCCCAGCACATCACAGCACAGCACTTCACAACATTACTTCACATGCAACAACAAACAACCACAATTTCCATTGAACAGACAATTCACATACAAGTCAACAACACCGTTCAGCATGAAACAACCTAAACAACCAAATAATCATTCTACATACCACAAAACTATAATGTGCAGCTCGTGAACGACACTCAATCACAATGTACCTTGTATTTTGTATAACCAATACAAATACAACATACAAAGCGACAACTATCCACACAACAACACTCCAAATACATACAAACCTAATTATTCAAACAACAAACAACAACTGACCCAACAAATGATGATGGCGACTCCATCATAGCCACCTGCTTAGCATTAGTTACAGAGGCGGGTTTTATTTTAACAGCTGCCGACATGAGCGTCGATGTAGTTGAGGTAGTAACGATCTTGTCGCCATTGATGACAGAATTATCAAAGTTGAAGAGAGATGTGAATGAGGAAGGTGAGCCGATTGTTGTGGTTGCTGCTGTCGTGCTCAGTGGCATGCCACCTTAATTATGAATACATTAGTAAATTATGTTAATGACAATGCTGCGATATGAATATTAACATAGGTAATGAAATTGGTTTCTGAATGAAAAAACTAATATTTACTTGGGAAAATATTACCAATCACTAAATTGTGAATGAGAATAAAAATAATAACAATGAAAAATGACAGAAAATGAAATTTAAAAAATATTTATAAAATAATCTGAAAAATGAATTTGAATGATGATAAAAATGAAACTATAGAGATGTATAAATTAAACCATTGAACAAAATTACAAAAACAACCAATCTATAAAATATAACAATTCTTCGATTTTCGTTAATCAAATGATATATAAAAAATTTCAAGTGAATGACTGAACAACTGAAAGACAGACATGCATGCATGCAAAAATCACAACAATTAATCCAATTTGAAAAGAAAAAAAATATAAATAGAAGAAAAATTTAGAAAACAGGTCAATAAAATCAAATGGTAGAATTACTAGATATTGATCTTAGTGCTGAAATAATCAAGCCAATCAAACAGAAAAACACCCAAATTCATCAAAAACAATCATAGTAAAAAAAAAAATTATCAATCAAGCTTGTTGTAGTTATTATTGTTTTTTTAAATGTATCTTTATATAATTAACGAATCTTGTTGTAAGATGAATGTGTGTGGGCTTCAACACTTGCATCTGCTAAATGCTAATAACTTACACGGCTAATGATGTAATTTAATGTAATTTGTTTTTTTTTGGAGTATAAAACATAAAAATGATTGCAACTCCTCAAATATTGAACACTTCATTTAAATGAAATTGTTAATAATTTAGATTAAACCATGTTTTGATTATATTAGATTTGAAAAAAAAAAATTATTATTATTACCATCGAAGTGCAAAAAACATATCAGGTTAGTGCTATAAAAACTATACACATAACAAATACATTTATATGTCATTTGTGTTTTCAAGTCGCTCGTTGCACAAATTTACCTGGGACGAGAGGTCCAGAGAAACTTGTGCATTTATTGGTTAAGTAGAGAGGGCCATAGACAACACTATGAAAACCACTTATGTGCCTTTTAGTCTGACCGTCTATTAGGCAGATTAGTGATGTTCCAGGTAAGGTTTAAATAAGAGGAAAAATAGAAGATTTAACTGACATAATCGAATTTGAAAAACTTTCAATTTGACAATACTCTACTTTTAACAGCGTCTAATAAAATGCATGTGTACTTTTCATGTTTGCTGTTTTTAAGTCAACAAAACATAAATTGTGCTTATAAACCAACCATTCTGAGCTCTGCAATCCATAATCAACTGAACATTTGATAACAATCAATTAAACGTCAATCCACAATTCTAAAAATTAATCAAATAATGATTCTCTGCATAAATCAATCAGACATTTATCAACAACACATAACACTATAAATAAAACAGGTAATTTTGTCTAATGGATGCAGACCTGCACTTGTATTGTTGTTGTTGTTAACGTTGTTGTTGTTTTGTTGTTGCTTCAGCAGTTCAGTGATAGCTGGAGGCAAAGTCTTGGAGATGGCAACAGGGGTGATGGTGGGCATAACTCCACTGCTTGTTGCTACTCCTTTTGTCTGTACGTTGATGAATAAATCATAAAATAATATACATTTACAAGCAATATCATGTATCTGATCATATATTTATTTAATGTATCAGCATTTGTGTGAGTTACCTCATCACTTTGAACCAGTTCAATGTCAACATTATGCTCGATGGCCATCCGACTGAGGAACTCGTAGTAAGACGGGTTGTGTTTTTTCACCCAGATGAAATAATCGATGAAATCATTCCCCCCCTCAAGAAAGAACAACTCGGAGATGTAAAACTTGAAATACTTGACGGCTTCCTGCATCTGATCTTCGATGAGAGCTATCCATCGCGACTTGTAATCGATTGGACCTTCGCCTTCCCCATCGTCGTTGTCGTCGTCATCATCGTTGTTGTTAATGTTGTTGTTGTTGTTTGTTGAAATGGCGATGGGCAGGATGATATCATTTGAGTTCATTTTGGCTTCCCACACACCTGACTCTTTCAACTCAATCTTCATCTTCTTCAGCGGTTGCTGATATGTGCTGCTAGATTCATCACCTCTCGATGACGGTCTATAAATTTATTTAAATCCTTAATAAAACTAACAGTTAAATTTTGACCAAATAAAGATTAAATAATTAATCAAATAACAAAACAAATACCAATTAACTTCAATAAAAACTAAAAATATGTATTTAAAAATGAAAATTTAAAAGACCAACCCTGGCAGCACATCGTCTCGTCTCTCCTGCTTGATGTCAGCAGTCAGGTTAACTTCTATCTTCACAGGCTGCATGTCTCTCAACTTCCCTTTTGACATCTTAATTATCAATTTTATGAGTTACCCCAGGCATGAACCATTGAACAAAAATTAACATATTTTGAGAGAAATTTTGCAATAATTATATCAACAGCAATTACACAAGCAATAGTAATTCTCACCAAAGTTGTTCCATGTCCAAGATGATGCACAATCTTTCCACCTTGGAAGTTTGTGTCAGTAGATGAAGTAATCAACTTTGGATAATGAACTGTGAATGATGATGATGACGATGAAGATGCAGCCAGTGAAGATGTTAACAATGATGGAGAAGCTGTGAGGAGAGCTTGTGGAGTTGAAGACAAGGTGATTGAGGCTGGCGGAGGAATATCTATCAATATTTTTAAATTGCAGTGTATAATTTAAAATGCACAAAGCCCATTCAGCCAAATGCCCACCTATGAACATACATAGTTACATACAAGTAGGGAGACTATCACACAGCAAGACAGAAATGAAACAAATATGTGCATAAAATATATAGAACAACTTTTGAAAAGGTTCCTAATAACAATTTTACTCAATGAAAAAGTTGAATGATTTATTAAATGAAATTCGCCGTACAAATTACAAACTTATTCTGGGAATTGAAGTAGTCATTTTGGAAACCGAAATCAGAGGTAAGGATAACGAAGTAGTTGGCTCTGACTGTGAATTAAGATTTTGTTTGTCCATTCTGTTTCGGTTTATCTATATTTTTCTCTAAAAACAAATAATGTTTTTATCTCATAACAATTAGTAATCATAAAAATGAATGTATGAAAGTAAATTTGAAAATTTTTTTAAAGTTAAATCATGGAAAGAGAGCTACTTATCTTTTTATTTTATATTATGGACTTTCTAAAACTAACGACCATCACTATCCAGAGCCAAGCATGACATCACATTCATATCTCAACTTAATTAACTCAACTACACAACCTAAAGTCCTGACCTAAAAACCTTACCTCAAAAATCATATTGACATCAATTATTTATATAAAATAAATATAAATTATTATATAAAATCATAAATGACTAACAAGTAATAGTTAGTCGACTAACTTCTATTAAAAAAATGAAAAAAAAATATAAGTCATAGAAACAAAACAGAAAACAACTACTGCCGGAAAGGAACACCTAACAAATAATCAAACAGAGAAGGTGCGTTAAGTTAGCCAAAAATTTCAAAGCCAAGGATTTCAATACAATTAGTATTATTATTAAATTAAATTAAATAAAAAAACTGAAATAACTAACAAAACAAAGTAATAATCTAGTCTAGGACCTGTGAAATTTTCAAGGTTTATTAACAACAAGTACACATCTTATATGCTAAAAATTAAAAAACACTAAAACTCAGTCTTTGTTAAAACAATTTTTCAAATTTAATGCCAATAATAAATAATTTAATAATAACCATGGGGTTTTTTGTAAAAAAATTTCTAACCATCTAGCTAGTTCTAGGGCCTGTAATAATTTCAGGGTTTACTCACAGGCTTTACTACATTATTACTTTGTGAGTTATTTGAGTATTATTATTTAACGCTTAACTTGAAATCCTTGGCTAACTTCACGCACCTCTAAAGCAAAACACAACACTAATAAATAGAAATAGTCGGCCAGACAGGAAAAAAATTTTTATCAACGCGCGTACGGTTTGCAAAAAATAAAAATAACGCATATTAAATTCCAACTCACAATATGTACGCAAATTTAATTTTTTAAAAGAAATAATTTATTGAAAATAGCATAATCCAATTCTTTGTAAATATTGTACTGGCAACCATTTTATGTAAATAATAAAAAGTACTTGTCATGTTATAGCGCATAATTATTATTATATGTCTTTCCCATATACCTAGAGAATACTTGTGGGTTGTAGTGGCGTCCCAAGCCCCGGAGCGCCAATGAGGTATAAAAACCGAGTTAGGTCAGTCTGTAGAAGTGCCATGTCTTGCGCTGCTATTACACGATGGCATGGTTCGAATACTTCGAGGATGTCATTGACAACTTTAGGGGAGCAATATCACGAAAAGTACTTTGGTAGGTCATTACAGATTGTTTGGTAAATTTATTCAAGTAGTTTTGCATAAAAGATATGTCATTCCTACTGTTAACTGTTCTTACATGGTACGGAATAAAAACATGGGATACAAACATGGGATACAAACATTACGGTAGACACAAACATTTATTGGTTTGGAAAATCCTGATAGTAGAGAGCACCGAGAGGCCTTGCTGCTCCGAGTATCTGTCAGCTTCAATTCACCACTGGACGCTTGTTGTATGTACCGCATGGTATGTTTTTGTATTGTATGGCATGTTGTAGTATTTGTTTTGCATAATATGTTGTAGGTATGTATTTTAAGTAATTGGTATATTTGTGAAGGTAACTTGTGCTGTACACGCACACACGTACACACACACGCAAACATATCGTATAATATCAACAATAACCAAATTCAAGCAGATAAGTATTTATGTATTGTGACGCTCGTACGCAGATTTTGAGTATTGTACTATAGCAACAGTAAAAGTATAGTAAAAATATTGGTCGTTGTTTTTATTGTTGTTTGCAGTTGTTGTTTTTACCTTTACCGTGTAGCAGAGCAGCAACAACAGACAGTAGTAGTAGTAGTAGTTGTTGTTGTTGTTGTAGAAGCAGCAGTAATAGTAGCTGTAGTATTTGCAGCAGCAGCAGCAGTAGTAGTAGTAGTAGTAGTAGTAGTAGTAGTAGTAGTAGTAGTAGAAGTAGTAGTAGTAGTAGTAGTAGCAGTATTGAGAATATTTGTTGATGTTATTTTCGCTGTAGCCATAGTAACAATAGTAGTAGCAGCAGCAGTAACAGCAGTAGTAGTGGTCACAGTAGCAGCATTAAAAGCAGCAAAACTGATACAACAGAACCGGCGGCGATGTAGGAAACTGCAGTGCTAGCAAGCAAGCAAGCAAGCATTAATAGCCAGTCGTAACTCTGCAATAAACATGCATTATTGCTTATATTGCGTCTTATAACTTGAGCAAAAGTAATTGTTACTCTAAGTATTAGGTTTTGTGTCCATGTACAAAAACACATACGAACTTGCATGTGTGTGTGTGTGTGTATTTGTTTGTTTGTGTGTGTGTGAGTGTGTGTGTGATGTTTGCTCGTATACCTATTCATTAATTTAGTTGTACTGTACAAAGCCATACCTGCGTATGAGTGTCACAATACATAAATATTTATCTGCTTGAATTTGGTTATTGTTGATATTTTACATATGTGTACGTGTGAATGTGTGCGTGTGTGCGTATGTGCGTGTGTACGTGTACAGTAAATGCTTGAACACACACCTATTGGTTCGCGTGTTATTGTCCAAATTAAATCGGCCAGCCAAAATCCTCTGTAATAACTTTTGAAACGATGATAACATCGGCTGGTTGGTTGGTTGATTGGTTGGTTGATTGGTTGATTAGTTGATTGGTTGGTTGGTTGGTTGGTTGGTTGATTGGTTGGTTGGTTGGTTGGTTGATTGGTTGGTTGGTTGGTTGGTTGGTTGATTGGTTGGTTGGTTGGTTGGTTGATTGGTTGGTTGGTTGATTGGTTGGTTGGTTGGT